CCAGGCTACCCTGATTTTTGTTATAGTGATCCAGTGTCCAACAAACTTGCTGAACTTAATGACTGATTCTAATTGGTTTTTGTAGCTTTTTAGGGCTTTATAAACATCTTATCTTCTGTGCTTTTGGATATTCTTTTTTTCGTTTTTTTCGGTTTTTTTTCTGTGGGCGTTTTTTTTTTTTTTTTGCCTAATTGCTCTGATTAGAACTCCCATACATAAGTTAGAATTGGTGAAAGTGCACATCCTTGTCTTGTTCCTGACCTTAAGCAGAAAGGAACTTTCAGTCTTCTACCAGTACGATATCAACAGTGAGTTTTTTTGTAGCTCTCCTTTTATCTGACTGAGGAAGTTCCCCATTCCTTGTTGGTTGGTTGTTTTGTTTTGTAATCATTTTGTTGGGGGCTCTTAACAGCTCTTATGACAATTCATACGTCCTTGTTGTCAAGCACATTTGTACATTTGTTGCCATCCTTTTCAAAAGAATTTCTTTCTACTTGAGCTCTTGGTATCAGTGCCTCATTTTCCCCTTCTTCCCCCACCCTCCCAGGTTGATTGTTTTTAATCATGAGAGTGTGTTGGATTTAGTCAAATACTTTAACTATTGAGACTTACAAACTAACAATTGATTTTGACTGCTGAACAATCTTGCATTCCTACTTTTTCATACTTTTTAATCCTACTTGATCATATTGTATAATCTTTTTTATATGTTTCTGGATTCACTTGGCTAGTCTGTTGAAAGAAATTTTAAATTGTAATTATTGTGGTACAACTTAAACACATACTTACCTTGATTTTAAATCACACAGTATTCCTTTGTTAAGTTCAAACAACTGCCTCATGGTCTCTGTAAAGTTCCACAGGAGCACAATGGAGTATTCTGGAATTCTCATTCTTTGGAATGTTATCTAAAACTTGTTAGGATCCACACAATTGAATGCTTTTGCACAGTAAATGAAGTACAAGTAAGCATCTTTCTGGTAGGTTCTCCTTGCAGCCAAGACCCATCAGGTATCACCACTGATATCCTTCATTCCACGCCCTCTTTTGAATCCAGCTTGAAGTTGCCACAGTTCCCTGTCAATGTGTGCTGCATTTTAGTTACTTTCAGCAAAATTTTGCTTGCACGTGATAATTTCCACATTCTGTTGCATCACATTCCTTTGGAATGGGAACAACTACGTTTTTTTTCCTATCACTTGGCCAGATAACCCTCTTCCAAATTTCTTGGCAGAGATGAGTGAGCACCTCTAACACTTCTGTTCCATTCCAGGAGGTGTGATTGCTTTACTGTCATCTTAGATTTTATGAGGGGGCACTTCAAAAAGTGCATGAAAGGGTAAACAATAAAAATAATACGTTTTTCAACATAAGGTCTATCTGGGTCAAGATACTTGTGTAAGCAATGATACCAGCCAAATCTAGTCCATCCCTAAAGAATGAATGGTCCTGGGAATTTCACCATGCCAATGCAGTCGTTTTTACTGTATTAACTGAATTAAAATGGATGCCTTTAAAAGACTTTTCAAGATTAAATAAGTTAGAAAGCAATTGAGTACTATGAGGATGATGCCTAATGGTTTCCTGTCAAAATTATCACAAAATCTCCTGTCTGATGGGAGGTATGAGCAGAAGCACTGTGGGGAAACTGCTGAAGATTTCCCAGGCATTCTTTCCTGCTAAGAGTTTGACTAACTTTCTCAAAATACTCTCATAATTAGCAATGCTACTGTTCTGTGACCCTCTAGAACAGGGGTGCTCAATACGTTGATCGCAATCTACTAGTTGATCGCAAATATATTGCGGGTAGATCGCATGGCATTAAAAAATAGACGTAAGCCTATCATTAATTCTGTCAATATACAGCACAGCAAATCAGATGCAATCTTAGGTGTCAAATGCATGCGCAAACAGCTGTGCTAAGTGCAGCAAAACTGACAAGCTTAAGTTATTGCCAATTTTTCAACCTTTTTTTTTTTCCTCTTAAACGTAAGAAAGGGTATTAAAATGAGGGGGAGAAGCTGGACCAAGTAAGACAAAAATGCATCACTTTCATATGGAATGGGAGATGTTGACACTAAGCCGCCCTTCCGCTGAAGTCCAGAGCGCAGGAACAGTTCTGGAACTTACTCGCAGAGGGAAAATACCCAGACATGAGAAAATGTGCTACCTCCTTGACTGCATTATCCGGCTCTCCTTATTTATGTGAGTCAGCCTTTTCCCACATAAAGATCATTAAGTCCAAGTACCGTTCCACCATGACTGATGATCATTCGGAAGTGTGCTTGAGGCTGGCTGTCAGCAGCTACTGTCCGGACTATGTATCCCTGGCTCATGCCATTCAGTACAAGTCATCAGAGTAAACTCAAGTAATGGCAAAAAATGTGCATAGTTGTGTTTTGTGCAACATGGACTCATGCGGTTATGCAAGGTACATAGACATACATTGTACATATAAAGAATTCTCAGTGTATTTATGAATAAAGGTAATAAATAAAAATAAATATGTTCTGCATTTTTGTAGTTGGTAGATCATTTTGACTTGATCATTTTATAAGTAGTTCACATGCTGAAAAAGTGTGAGCACCCTGCTCTAGAAAGTCAACAAACAAAAGACCTTAAGCCAGCGGTTCTCAACTTGTGGGTCTCAACCTCTTTGGGGGTTGAATGACCCTTTCATAAGGCTCACGTATGACCATCGGAAAACACATTTCTGATGGTCTTAAGAAACAAACCGTTCCTCTATGCGTCTACAGGCAGGTCTGCACTCATGCAGATATGCCCACATTCGAGGGCCTGGTGTGATGACTGTTAACCTATGCTATATACCATGCTTTAAGACAAGTTTTCATTTATTTGTCATTAGAAATAAATATTTCACACTGTATAATTACATTTTTTGTGTGATGAATCAGTATGCTTTAATTACGTTCAGTTTGTAACAAAATACATCCTGCATATCAGATATTTGAGTCAACAGCAAAAATTACAGTTATGAAGTAGCAATGAAAATAATTTTATGGTTGGGGGTCACCACAACATGAACTGTTAAAGGGTCGTGGCATTAGGAAGGTTGAGAACCACTAACTTAAGCAGCCCCGAAAAACTGTTGGCCATGACCTTCAGCCTTGATTGGTCTGCTTTTTCTTTTTTTTGGTCTGCTTTTTCATTGGACCATTCCCACCTCTTAGTAGCCATGGCTTTGACTGCTTTTTCAGCCCTGTTTCATCTATTACAGTTTTTTTAAGAAGTGCTTCAGAATCTTACCCCCACTTCTTTAAAATTCCCATGGAATGTTCTGCTTGTTTGCAGCTGATCTATGTGCCGTAGTTTTGGTACTTATCAAGCAGAAACTTGGCTAAACTTTAATTTTCCAGTCAGAATGTGTAAACTGAACCAGTTCAGTTGCCTATGGTGTAACTATAGTTTTGACTTTCATTGTTGGTTCTCTTCAATTAGCCCAGCGACAGATTTTCTTGAAAATTGATGTGGATAGTCTTCCATTGTAGGTTTCATCTTTAACATTGTCATGGCCCTGCGTAAAATGAGTAATCAATTTATAAATTGCTGATTATCTTGGGCTGTTCCCATCTTCATAAAGCATCAATTATTTCATCATTCGTTCATCTAACTTTATTAAACTTGATCTTTGTTCATGCTTCAATTCTAACAGAATTAATTATGCTCTTAGAAGGTATATTTTCAAACTTTTATCCTTTGTGTCTCAAACTAGATCCTGTTCAGACATGTTATAATAATGCCAGCTTATCTTGGTACAAAAAAAAGTTTTACTCCAGACATAGCTTTATTCTCAGTATGCAGCTCATGTAAAAATTAACAAAATTGTTTTATAAAATGATTCTGAAGTATGTAAAAAAACGTAAAATTTTCTTTTTAAATTCTCAAAAAAAGTTACTGATCCAGTTCTAATCAGATCCTGGCTTTTAAGGTTCAAAAAATAAATTGGCATAGTTTTAGCCCTTTGTGTATACCAGTATTAGTACTTGTGAGCTGGGGTTTAGGACAATGTTTTCATTGTAATGAGTGATATTTTAATAAAAGTTAATAAAATTTTGCTATGACTGCACAAAATTATAGACACTTATTTTGGTGTCATCTCCTCGGTCACCAGGTCACAGGTGTGGTCCACCTTCCGTCCATACCCCTAGGGGACCCTTCTCTGTCAAGTCCTCTCTGTGCAGAGACTGGTGAGTTTAGAGCAGCAGCTGGTAGACTTACCACTGATCTTTCCTTTAGCAGTCTAGGGCTTTACCACTGCGCCTCAGGAAAGTTAAACTATCCAAATGTGCTAGACGTCATGAACTCTAAGGCTTGCACAATCTTTGAAGACTCTGTGCGCGTGCAATTTTAACCACTTGTTAATCATATTAAAAAATACAAGAACATTATAGAATGCAGGTAAATGTAAAATGGTGTTAACATTTCCAGCAGGGACATCAAGAGGATTAGTTGAAAACTCATAACCCAACTGTCATGGAGTTGATTCTGACTCAAAAAATCTCACTGCTGTCAAGTTGTTCATAGCGACTGGGCCCTATAGAACAAGTCGAACTGGTCCTGATGGTTTCAAATTGCTCACCTTGCGGTTTAACAGCCTACTGCAGGTCATTTCCGACCAGAGCAGTCCTAGCTAGTGTTTCCGATTCTGTACATCCTTGTGCCAGCAGAAATGGAGGTAAATGTGGGCTTAGCAATATCTTTAGCCGCGGTTGTCAGAAAGACTAACTAGGTGCTAAATATTGAGAGTTCTGAGAAGCAGCAGAGACTGGATTTCACTGTAGGCTATCATTTGGGTTCCGCAGCCAGAGACCGCAGCGGGTAGCACCCGCAGAAGGGACCTCCTGGAGGAAAATCTTAGAAATGGCGGGATTGCAGTCCCTGAAGAGACTTCAACTGGGTCACAGACCTGCCACGTTTACTGGTTACGAGAAGACCGCGAAGCCCGTTGCGTGTCTAGATGTGGTCTTTTTTTCCCGTAGATACTCCAACGTTGGAAGAAAAGCGCACCTGAGACAGCTTTTAAGGGAGCCGTCTCCCATAGCAACCTGGAGGCGTGGTCGGCGGAGGCCCCGCCTTCCTCCCGTCGAGTTTGCACGGCGATTGGTCTAGAGGCCCGGCGGCGGTTGCAGGGAGGCGGAGCCGGGGCGTCCGAGCTGGCGGCGCTACGTCGCCATTTTGAGCTGAGTGGGTTTCGGGGACGTTCCGAGTGCGTTCGCGCTAGAGCTCCCAGCGGCCTCCTTGCAGGCCGTCCCGCACCTCCCAGGCCCCGGCCCGCGTCCGAGTGCCAGGTTGGAGCCGGGAAACGTCCCTGGGGGCAGTGGCGGCGGGGGCAGGATGAGCGCGGAGGCGGCGGACCGGGAGGCGGCCACCTCCAGCCGGCCCTGCACCCCGCCGCAGACCTGCTGGTTCGAGTTCCTGCTGGAGGAGTCGCTGCTGGAGAAGCATCTGCGCAAGCCCTGCCCGGGTAAGCGCCGCGCGTGCCGCTGCCTCGCCGCCCGCCCCGGACCGTTCGCAGCCCCGCAGCTCCGGCCCGTCGGGGCACGGACCGCGCCGTGCGCTGGCCGAGGCTCCCGGCCGTGTCCGAGCACCTGTCCCCGGCGAAGAACAACAAAACCAGCCCCACCCCTGGGGCCGGGCCCGGAAGCCCCCGGGCCGGTGGGCCCTTTGGGCGTTTTAGCCCCGGCGGAATCGGAACCCTTCAACTTACTGAACTCGGGCTGGTATACATTTGGGGAAAGGGGAAAAGTCAGCTCTTGTAATGCTATCCTGATACGAAATAGTTTTCTCTTAGGTTCTTATTTGACGCATTTGTTACTCAATGAGATTTCACCGACTCTCATTAACAGCGCAAATTAAGTAAGGAAATCTTGGCTAGCAGGAAATGCTGAAACAATTACCAGATGGCTATTGCATTCTGATGATCATGATTAATATACCAGTTTTGTGGTGGTATTGGGGACAGAGGTACCAGCATGTAGGCTGCTTGCATTTGCAAATTCAAATAAGGCTTGTGCAGTCCTATGGTACCCGACTGTGTGTGGTTATTGTAGTGTTTGTTGTATTGAGTAGTTTTAGCACCCACATTGTGCCATTTTAATTCATTCCTTTTAACAAACGCATGTTGAGTGCTTTCTGGGTGCCAGGCACGGTCCTCAGGGCTTCACATCTGAGGTTCACATCCACTGAGGTTGGTGGCCCCGTGCTCCCTTTTCCCTTGGGAGAAAACAGGTGCAGAGAGGTAATGAGCACGGTCCCATTATGAAGTGTCAAAACAGTATTTCTCAAGCCTGCACCTCTCTTCTCTAATTGGCATTGGCTACTTGAAATCTATAGCATTAGGTGGCACGTTCAGGCAAATGTTCTACCAGGTAAAGGGCTTTCTTCACTCTCTCTGTTCTTTACCGGAGGGCAAGATTCTTATCAGCCATTCCTCAGTCATTGTAAGGTCTCAGCAGTGTGGAGTCTTCCTGTGGCAAAACAGGGACAACTAAAATACAAGTAAATCCTTTTGTGTTAAAACTTAACTTCAGGATTTTTTTTCCTCCCCACACCTTAGATCCTGCACCAGTTCAACTTATCGTTCAGTTTTTGGAGCAAGCTTCCAAACCTTCAGTCAACGAGCAAAACCAGGTGCAGCCTCCACCTGATAACAAGAGAAATCGCATCTTAAAATTACTGGCTCTTAAAGTTGCTGCACATTTGAAGTGGGACTTGGACGTATTAGAGAAAAGGTATCCATGATTTTAAAGTGTTGCATTTGAAGTACTGTTTGGATGTCTTGGGTAATTCCACATATTTTGAAGTTTTATTTAGTGCTGTGGGTTAGCTCTTCAGCTGCTAATGCAGTCAACAGTTCAAACCCACCACTTGTTGCTTGGTGGAAGGATGAGACTGTCCCTGTAATGATTTAAAGCCTCAGAAACCATGTAGCGTCCTCATGCGTTGGAATCCGCTTGATGGACAATGGGTTTGTTTTGGTTTCTATATGAATTTATAAAATCTTTTTCCACACTAATGCCCTTCAGATAAAAATGATCTTTCTGTGTGTTTTTAATAAAATATGTAAGTATTTTTCCAAAAGTTATAAAGCATATGAATACTAGATGAATTTACATGGCCCCAAAATACAGCATGACTGAAAAGCGGTTGTGGTCATTTTATTTGTAAGTAGTATTGATCCAATTTTAAGCTCTGAGCTAAATATTCTTTTAAACCATAAATAATGTTAGTGATTAGGCAGTTAATGTTTTATTTTTCTTATTACTTTTTTTGATGTAGTAAATAGACAAAATTCCTCAATTTGAGAAAAAAAAACACTTCTGTTTTCATATCTGAAGAAAATGAATAAAAATGATGAGTTTTGCATATTATGGATGATTTACCATGGACTAATTTTCCTAATTTTATTGATAAAAAAGCAATCAGGATCTCCCAAGTTATTAAAATTGCTATTAGAATAAATGCTTTTTTCTTTAAAAATAAATACTTTCAAGGCTTTGTTTAGAATATACTTTATTTTCAGTCCCTTATAATGAAGAAGAAAAACCTATTTGCTGTAGGACATTTGAATGGATAGATAAAATATGAAATAGAGGAGAAATATTTTAAATGCTTTGTGTATTTTTTTCTTGACATATTTTTAAATAATGTGATCATACCTTGTATTCTATTTTTATTTTTGTTTTTTTCCCCCACTTAACGGCATATTACTAAATATGAAATCATTTCATGTTTTGCAAATTACTCCCTTGTAAAGATAAATTATTAAATTTGTCTCTATTGACAGTAATTAAGTTTGCTTCCAGTTTTTTAACTATTATAAGTCACGAAACTCCCAGCAGGTTGATTCTGACTCACAGCGACTTTGTAGGACAGCCTTGGGATCTCTAAGACTGGACTTTATGAGAGTAGAAAGTCTCGTCCTTCGCCCTCGGAATAGTTACCGTATTGAACTGCTGACTTTGCCATTAGCAGCCCAGTGTGTAACCACTACACTACAGGACCTTAAATATCTTTGCCAGTAAGCTGTATGTTTGTTTTATGTTTTGAGTTATACCCTCCCTTGGTATAGATTTCAAGAGCGCTGGGTTTTGCCAAAGCATTTTTAAGGCACATGATCCATAGTGCTAGGTTATATCCCAAAGAGTTTTACTAGTTTTGTTCTTTGTTTACTACTTGTAATAAACAAAACAAAACCCTTTTCACTACATATTCTCCAACTGTAAACATTTGAATTAGAAAAGAGGGAAAACAACTCATTTTATTCTTTAGTACTTAGGAGGGTTCCTATTCATAGTATTCATGTGCTTTATCTTATAACTGATGGGAGACTCGAGAGGTCAAATAGCAATATATTTTACAAGTATGTATATGTGCCAATTGGGAAATTGAACAATAGTTGTATATTTAGTCTTCATTATTAATTTTGAAGCTAGGATTGTGGTTTAGTTCAGCTTTGACACTTTGAATTGTTTCGTTCTCACTGCCTTCAGGTTTATGCTGACTCGGCGACCCTGTAGGTAGGACAGGGTAGAGCTGCCCTGGAAGTTTCTGAGCCTGTCACCTTGATGAGGGTAGGAAGCCCATCTTTTCTCATGACTGAGTGCTGACTTTTTAGATTGCAGCCCAGCTTGTAACCACTACACCATCAGGGCTCCTTTGGATATATTCTGAAATATTTATAGAAGAAGTGATTAAATATTGAGGATTTGCTTCAAAATCATGTAGAAAGGAGGGAAGTGGGTGAGGGTGTAGATGACAGAAGACTAATTGAAGCTGGATGATGAGTAGATTGCAGTTTATTCTCTTGTTATTGTTGTGTGCTGTCAAGTCACTCACAGTGACCCCCTTGACAGTTGAACTGCCCCAGAGGATTTTTCTAGGTTCTACACCTGTAGGGTCGCCAAGTTGGAATTACTTGAACGCAGTTTCTTGGTTTTGTTTTTTTAATCTTAACAGTAGATGATTGCCAGGTCATTTCTCCCAAGAACTGCTGGATGGTTTGAACCACTGAACTTTCAGTTAGCAGCCAAGCTTAATCATTGTGTTACTTGGGGCTCCTTTATCTTTTGTGTATGTTCACATGTTTCCACAATACACCGTTCAAGTTAATTTTTTCAGTGTAATTATTTTGGGGTAAGTTGCTAAATTTCAGAGTCATAAAACGACCCTGAAGATTGAGTTATTTTAGCCACTTGATTGCTATCAGTGAAGATACTGAATTAACTGTTTTTTGCTTTCCTTTTCTGTTTGCCTTCCGGGTTAAGCCTGTCTGTTCCAGTGTTGAATATGCTGCTCAATGAACTGCTCTGTATCAGTAAAGTTCCTCCCGGGACAAAGCATGTAGCCTTGGATCTGGCCACTCTGCCTCCGACCACTGCCATGGCTGTCCTGCTGTACAATCGATGGTAAATATTGCGTACAGCCAGATATGTGTGTGGCTTCTCTAGTTGGGCAGTGCTTTCCCAGGGCGTCCTGTGGATGGGCTCCTTCTGTTGCAGAGATCTCTCAGGGGATCTTGGGAACTGTGTGTCTGAGGATGGAGAAAGTGTCTTTGGCTGCATAGATAAGAATAGCATTCTTCCAAAAAAAAAAAAAGAATAGCATTCTTCCAAAAGGAAAAAACAAATCACAGGTGCCTTGTAACATGTACTAATTAAAACTTCAAATAATTTATAATGCAGATCGAAAGCATACTTGAAGAAATGATTGAAGTCATATTTATAATGTATTAAATTTCCTTTATATTTGTCTTTTCTTCAGGGCAATTAGAACAATTGTTCAAAGTAGTTTTCCTGTCAAGCAGGTGAAACCTGGACCTCCTCAGTTAAGTGTGTAAGTTGGAAGATAGGATAATTACTTGGCTTTTTTACCCCCTTTTTTCTTTTTCAATTTGAAATGTTTTGTAAGCTTGTCATACAGAAGAGCAGAAGTGGGAGGGTAAAAAAAACTACATCAAAGATTCGTTTGTTGGTTTAAAATCAGAGAAGCAGATATCAGATTAGTCAGCTAGCATTGAGTTGACACTGATTCAGGGTGCCCTGCATGTCAGAACTGTGCTCCAGAATGTCCTCCGTGGCTGCGCTTGCAGCCGTTGCCAGGCTGCGCTTCTCCCCTGCGCTCTGTGGACTCCAGCCTCCAGTCAGTAGCCCGTGGGTTAACCATTTTCACCCCCAAGGAGATTGCTTTAGATATCTAGAGAGCTCAGAATTAGAAGGGGAGGATTTGTTGAATTTTGCTATTAATTTTGATAAATATTAGCTGACCTGCTTTAAAATATGAGCATATTTTTCCATTTAGTTAAATTTATATTGAATGAAATATACTTGTTCAGTATTTATTATAGTTAAATATTAATTTAGATTTTAGTTAATGACATTAGTTGACAAGAAACATGATGGGTTCTCATGGCGAAATTCTATAGAAGCCAAGGATTGGAATTTAGAATTGATATGAAAGTCAGCA